CATCTAGTGTCACAGGGAAGGACGGGGCTGGCGCGGGCATCCCCGTGCGCCCGCGCTGAGCCGGGCGCGTGCGCGTGCGGAGCAGGGCAGCAGCTGCAGGAGCTGGAGCAGCGCGTGGCGGAGCTGGACGAGCGCTGCCGCCGCAACGAGCAGCGCCGCGTCGACCTGGAGCTCAAGCTGGGCGAAGTCAAGGAGCGGCTCAAGCAGTCGCTGGCCGGAGGGCCGGCCCTGGGGCTGGCCGTGACGGGCAAGGCTGAGAACGGGGTACGGAGCTCTTCCTTCCTCCCTGCCAATGCATCCCAATGCTATGAGAGCTTTCTCTTTCTCTTCCTGCTTCCTGGCTTTCCTAATTCTCCTCTTTTTGCCTCTTCTTTTTTTTTCTGCAGGAAGCAGCCAGCAAGCCCAACGGGAGCCCCCCTGAGCACTTGGTCCCCGTTAACTGTGCAGCGGAGATGAGGAAGAGGAGCCCGTCCATCCTCCCTGCCAACAAAGGCAACGTGCTGCGGAAGGCCAAGGTCCTGCCTCGCTCCATAGGAAATCTCAGGGACCTGCTCGCACTGCTATCAGCTGTGGGAAGCTGATAGCCACCCTCTTCCCTAGCAATCGGTCCTCAACGCCATCTCCACCCTCTTTGCAGGAATGGGAGCAGAAGCAGCCCTAAGCCGGGCTGCGGGAACGCCGGGCTGCAGCGCCCCGCCGGCCCCGGACTCGCCGAGGAGCCGCGAGCCCATCTCCCCACGGAGCTCGGAGGGTGTAGGAGGGCTCCCCCGCTGCAGCAGCATCCCTGCACCTGGGCACTGTGATAAATGCGGGATGGGGGGCGGGATGGGAGGGGAGATAGGGGGTAAGGGGATCCTTGGTGGGGCAGGGCTGCGGGGACGCCCCTCATCCTGGCGTGTCCACATGGAGTTTTGGCACTGAGGAGTGCGGGAGCCTGGCCCTCCACACAACTGCTTCGGCTCCAATTTATGGGGCTCAGCATGTGCCAGCCTGGGGCTTTCCCAAGTGCCCATGGACTTTCGGGAGTTTGTCTGCTGCAGCAGCGGGGTTTATGAGGGTCTGATCACACGTCCTTCATCCAAGTGAACTTGTCCAACATTTCCTCCCTGGAACGAGGCAGGAGGGAGCAGGAAGCGTCTGTCATCCTTGCGGGGCAGCGCTGCAAGGGGCTGAGGCTGGATGCAGCTCAGCACGCTCTGCCCTCGCCCCCTGCAAGCACCGAGACCAGCTCTGGCCAGCGGTGCCCTCGCAGTTCTGCTGCTGCACTCGAGCGCTTTGCTTGCCAAGGCATGGCGTCCAAATGGAGCAAGGGGATGATTAAAAGATTTTTTTTTTTTAAAGTGATTTCAAAGCAGGGGACTTGTGGTAGAAAACAGGGGCCTGTGACCAATTTGTGCCAGCTACCGCCACAATGAACCTTTGCTGCTCACTGCTTCAAGGCACTTCGTTTTAGTAACCGGGTAAGAGGGTTTTAATAGAATCTCTGGCCGGGGAAAGCCCCTTCCTCTGCCTGGAGGGAGCAAGCGGAACGAATTACTCCTGCTTATAAAGTGATAGGTCGGCCCTTGTCTTGGGTTAGCGCAAGGGCAGTGTGTGAAGGACATTGTGCATCGCCCCGGCCAAGGCTGGCGGTGCTGGGTGACCAGGGACCCCCTCGTCTGCCTTAGCAAACACTGTAAGTTGAACGTGTCAACAGCCCGACCCGGAGGGGCTCCACCTTCAATGAGTCCTCTTCATTCTATAAGCAAGAGATTAAACCTGCTCCCTGTCGCGTTCCCCTTGCCCAGCTCCACAGTCAAAGCCGTGTCCTGTTGGGGCTGCTGGTCCCTGTGCGGGAGCACAGGATACAACCGTGGGGCAAAACATGCCTTAAAAAGCAAACAAGCAGCCCACCCAAAAGCCCTGTTCGATTGCAGCTGGCTTTATTGTGGTAAATTGGTGCTGCCAGGCTGGGGCACATACACCTGAGCTGGAGCACGTGCTAGGACCATGTTTGCTGCTGTTCACGGAGGAATAAATGATGCACTGCCCTGACGCACTGCGTGCAGGGTCTGCTCACTGCTGCATCTCTCAACCAGTGGGAGAAGCAACACAGGACCCCACGGGGGCCGTGGCCGGTGGTGGATGGAGGGCCGTGCACTTGCTGTCGGAGCAGCCTGTGCTGCATGGGGCCTCCTTGCCCTCCACCAAACTGCAGCACTCCCAGCCATGCACTCTCCGTGCTCCAGGGTGTGCAATCCCCAGGCAATGCACCATCCCCTGCCACCTGCATGGGTCGTGTACCCTTGCAGGGCTGTGCACCCCCTGAGCCACACAATAACTCTGTAGAGCTGCACAACGTTCTCCAGGACATGCCATCCCCCTTCCCTGGCTCATGTATCCCCCCAGGGCTGCCCACCCAGGCCAAGCAACAACTCCTGCACCTGTGCACCCTATTCCAGGCTGTGCAAACCCCCAAAGCTGACGACTCCCCTGATCGTGCATCCTTGCTGGGCTGTGCAACACCCTGGGCCCTGCAGTCTGCCCTCCTCCCAGGGCTATGCACCCTGCTCTGGGTTGTGCAACTCCTCCCGCCCTGGTCTATGCATCCCTCCAACGCTGTGCACTCCCAGGACCGTGCGTCCACCTCGCCAGGGCTATGCACCCACCTCTGGCTCATGCAATCCCCCCACCGGGGTCGTGCACCCCTCCAGGGCTGCACACACCCCCCGGCCCTTGCAATCCACCACATTCCTCCGTCCCGGGACTGTGCACCCTAAAATCCCCCTGGAAATCCCGCTTCTCCGGCCCATGCACCCCTGCAAGGCTGCACACACCCCCCGGGCCGCAATCCACCACATTCCCCCGTCCCGGGGCTGTGCAACCTAAAATCCCCCTGGAAAACCCGCTTTCCCAGCCCGCGCCACCCTCCAGGGCAGCGCCCCTACCCCGCGCCATCCCA